CTGCTACTGCTACTGCTGCTGCTATTGTGGCTGCTAGTGTTGCTGCTACTACTGCTACAGATCCTGCTCCTGTTTTTGCTACTACTTCTACCACTGCTGCTACTAGTACTGCCACTGATACTGCTACTTGCTGCTGTTGCGGCTACTGCCGCGACGCCTACTACTACTGCTGCTATTGCTTCTGCTGTTTATACTGCTACTTCTTCTGCTGCTATTATCGCTACTGCTGCGGGAATGGAAAAAGGGTAGAAACACTTACCTGCAGCTGGTGTTCCCACAGTAACTCGCGTTCACCCAAAGAAACACGAGCAATGTTTTATATTTAACAAATGAAATAGATCATGAGCTAGAAATATCTCCCATAATCGAGCCCATAATCTGATTGTATTGTATAAATTCTGTTGTCGGTCATAAAGTTATCTAAATCCTCGCACTGACTTTTGGAAAACGCAAAGAAGCGGTCGCCATCAGTTTTGTTAACAATCGCACACGACAAGGCTACTTTCTATTAGCGTAGCCAACAAGAGAATGGCACCGGTGATGTTAGTACCTAGATTTTTACTAATTCTCAATTGTACCTTTTCAAAGGAAAAAAGGAGATAGTTCTTGATCCAATTTTAAATCTATAACTCATACAAAGCTCCATACAAACTCTCACAGTACTCTCTGGATACCTATTTAGTGTATTTGCTTGGTTTAGTCGGTCCCACAGTATCGGAGATCACATGTAGGAGTAGGAAACAATTTGTAGACAAAGTAGGAACCACGATTCTTGATGTGAATTACTTGGTCTTTGGCGCAACAATCATTGTCATCACCCAACTTAAAACAGACTTTTATGCTCTTTTCTGTTACGCCTTCTGGTGGCAAGGGTTTTGTTGTAACATTCAACCATCCAAGACATTCAGTGTGACATTGTCCGATTGGTGGACAATCGATTGATACCAGGCGCCAGTGCTGGACAGCGATTCAGTACTATCACATAATGGTTACGCGGAGATTCTTTATTGTTAATATTTCTATCAGAACTGTTTAGGGTTTCCTATCGATGGCATGGATCAACTAAAGACAAAATCAAACACCAAAAGAAAAAAAATAGAGAAAAGGGAGTGAGCTGAATTGCTCCATGTATAAACTGTGATTTTCATTTCATCATCGTACGTACAGTTTGTTTTTTTTATTCAATTTTGATGTTATAAAAGAATTGGTTCATAGCGGAGTTTCATCTCGCGAAGCGCACCAGGCGAGCACCATGGGAAGAGATTTTTAGTACATCATCAAGCCGAGAAAATTTGGTTATAAGGTCACCGTAAGAACAAGCGAGCGTCCCTCCGTACAGACATTACGGGAGAAAATCACATGGATCAACTAGAAAAATCAAACGTGTTTGGTGTGTTTAGAGACTTTAAGAAACGGTAAAAACAGTAAAATGTGGTCGATTCATTGATCAATCAAAAACATTAGTTCATTTCACTCCTCACAAATTTTGCTTGGTATTTCTGCCTGGAAAATTCACACTGAAGCGAATTGCCAAATTGCGGTAAGCGACTCTTTGTTGTAGAACGCTTCGTCTCGTTTTCTATAAAAACTGTAACGTTGCTTCGGCGA